TAATTTATACGGTATAATATTTGGAATATCTGTTTGCAAATAAACAACAATTACAGATATATTAAGTAAAATTTAATTTATTTAGAGATTTCGATAAAACAATTATAGGACAAAATCAGAAACAAATGTCTTGTAAATATCAACTGAAATGGAAACTTCAAAAAATAAGATACATTTGACAGGAATGAATAATAATTAGATAATAAACTACTAATTCAATGAATGGCTATTCCAGTGAATTGTAAACCAGGAGTTGTTTCAACACTTTTGTTTGACTGGTTTCCCGTATCTCTCCGGCTAAGAACATCTCATCCACAACACTGTACACCTGTCCACACAAACATGTCATCAATTCATAGCACATACCATCACATTATAATCAATTACTTTATAGAAGTTGAAGACGAGGTCCAGTTCGCACACGTTATGGAAGTATTCATTGAGGACTTCGACAAAATTATGAATCGCTTCCAGATATACCAGATTATTATCATTCACGTCAACGCATATACAGAAGTAGAGTCCGGCGTAACGACGGTATACTATCTTAAAGTTGCGGAACTGATCCAACAAATGAAATAAGAGTGAGATACAGACAACTGATTGGCCACACAGTGGGCTATACCACAGATACCACTGGTGGTGGTGTGTCTCACCTCAACAAAGTTGGTGTGTTTGGCATCCCTGACAGTGACCACTGCGTGCACCTCTTCAATGAGCTTCTGTTTCTCGTCGTCATCGAAGTTCATGTACCACTTGGCCAGTCGGGTCTTACCCGCCCTGTTCTGGATCAGTATGAACCGGATCTGCAACACAACCACCAGTTAGTCATTCGTATGCCACTCAACACACAATTAGTTACCATTATTTCAATTGTCGATATGTTGTCGCAAATGATTCAAAACGGGTTTCAATTTCACGTCAAATGTTGGGATGACATGAAAATGAGTGAAACATTGAGTGAACGCCTACTCAACGCATACACAGACATACTGTACAGTAGAGTACACTCCTCTCACTGCCATAGAAATCACATTTACAGCAAAGTATGCTTTCAGACCAACACTTTTGAAATGAAACTTTTATTCATGATATTTGAGATAAACTTGAAATCATATATATGTACTGTACATGAGATCTGACTGTACAATGTCAGATCAAGTGAATTAAATACAATTGTATATAAACTATAGGCAACTATAACCACACTTTCATCTTAAGACCTGTTCGTTGTTTTCTTCTTATGATTACTCTTTTTATTCGTCACTTCTTTACGCGCTTTCATTGCATTCAAATCATCCGATTGTCTCTTCATTGCATTCATTTGTGATGTTTTACTCCAATCAATAGATTCTGTTTTCACGCCACTATTGCTTCCCTTTTTAATTGTCTTCAATTCCCGTAATCTCTGGTCAATGGCTTTCATCTCATCCTTGAGTTTCAGTTTCCTTTCCTTCAAATCGTTTTGCTTTTCATTTAAGCAAATGTTTCTCTCCTTAAGTGTCTCACAGAAGGCAATGCACTCCCGAAGTGCTGCCAACCGCTCCTCTAATTCTTCAGAAACCCGTTGACTATCCTTTGAGACCACTTTCTCTTCCTTTTCGATGCTCTCGTATTCAGTCATCAATTTCTTATGCTTTTGCTCAAGACTTCCAATCGTGTCATTCGCCACACAATTGTCATCAATGATAACACACTCGTCCTCCTCGTCAGGCAATGGCTTTCCTTTTGTACGTTTAGTCGCCGACTGAAGAGTCCATTCATTGAATGGCTTATCATTTCTACTGTTGATCGCAGTCTCGTATTTGGCGAAAGTCTCGCCCAATATATTAATCAGCAACTCGTGAGGCAATTGATCCAAATTCACGTCAAAGTGTTTCAATTGATCCAAATCTGTGGGCAGAGGGTTCGGGGCATTGGTTCGGTTCGGATGGTCACTGAGACCACTGTTGACGTGATTGTGTCTGAAGTGAATCCTCTGGAGAGTGCGGGCTCTCCTCATCTCTTCGTCGTGTTGTCTGACAATGCGATTCATCTGAAGTCGAGATTTGGGCAGTTCTGGGTTCTTGAGGATGCGATTCAGTTGATTCAAGTCCACCACTCCATCCCGAACGATGTCTTCACTGCCACCACTCCTACCGGGGGATGTGATTGATGTGACGGCTGATGAAGTGTTTGGTCTCATACTGGTGTCCATCGCTGTATCGTTCATATCATGTCTATTAACCACAAATGTCTTCAAAACTTGAGATCACTTTTGCACACAAACTCGAGTGTTAACTGACCACACATTACGTCCAGATGTCTGAATCCCTTGAGTACTGCAAATAATAGCTTCATTGAGTCTTTTATTGGACATAATCTATGGTACGATTGATTGCAATACCGATAAAGTGTTGAATGAAATATTGTTTGTAAACAAAAGCATTGAATAATTGTTTAACAGTTTTGTGATTCAATTGAAACTAATAATGAGTTTAATTAGAAATAAATTGTTATTTCATTTCAATATAAATGTAATGAAAATGTTTGCGCGAAATATAAGCGTCTCGTCAGTGAATCGATTGAAACAAAGTATGCATTCATTTGTATTTCCCTTGAATTGGCACTAATTTGCATGAATTGTACGTTAAGTCCAATACCAGGAACGGGAGGACACCATAACCGTGGAAGCGGTCAAAGTGACGTCCGATCGGAAGGACAAACTCATCCACAAGACAGACACCCATAAGGATTGCTGTCCCTTATGTCGACTAAACCTAAGACGTCTCGATTATACCGTAAATGCATTTTCGCCACCAATTCATTGGCTATTATTAAGGGATTGTCTTACAGGACGTACTGATCCTCAAGCAGTTCGTGGAGTCTTCGGGCAAAGTAATGCCTCAATCGATAACTGGTTTGTGTAGTCGTATGCATAACCGAGTGATACAACTGGTGAAGAAGGCCCAGACGTGTCAACTACTGCCGCGACCGCATGACTACCAGTCGTACGGCCCGTGGGATCAGTTGAACACATACTACGAGTGGCCCCGACGTAGGAGAGATCAACCCATGGAAATCATTGAACCCAAGTACTGGGCCTCCGATTACCAGCAAAACAAGTTGTGATTCACTTTTCAAACCATTGTTTCATTCATTTGGTAATTGCTATGAAAACAAAACCCAATTTTGATTATTAATGAAAATGTTTGAAACCGTTTTGCCAGCGGTTGTGCTCTGATTGAAACAAGTTGTGATTCACTTTTCAAACCATTGTTTCATTCATTTGGTAATTGCTATGAAAACAAAACCCAATTTTGATTATTAATGAAAATGTTTGAAACCGTTTTGCCAGCGGTTGTGCTCTGATTGACGTGTTTTCAATAAAAAGTCACTGAAATGTTATAAAAATTGATTTTATTTCAAATCTTTTCGACAACAGTTTCATCTAAAGAATATATTTCACAACAAGTTATGGAATCGATTGTTAGAAAAAAAGTGGTGATTATTATTATATCATAAAAATGGTATTAATTTAACCATTAATTGAGAATTAAGTTTAAGTGTTAAGAAATGCTTGAATCACTAAATAAGTGAACGCATCGATAGGTTTTTGCGAGCAATCACTCTGTCATTACAATACATGTTACAATACATTGAACTCTTTTCATTGAAATCACTATTTTTTGCCAAACATTTTTTCAAAACATATCTATTGAATCGAAACATAATTAACTGCAACCGAAACAAGTGGTAAATATTTATCGCTTACTTAAGCAAACGATTGGCACAAAATGCTAACAATTTTTATAACATTTGTTTCGATTTGTTTGACTATATTTGCAGATTTGGAGGCAAACTTACGGTGTATTATAAATTACAGTAACGTTATATCATTTCATAGAAAATAAGCTTTTAAATGAAA